GGGTGGGGGTGGAGCCAGGAGCGGGTGGGGTTTGGGGAGGGGCGGGGCCTCAGCAGGGAACAATGTCACAGAGTCCACCCTTCAAAGCAGCCATTTTCTCCAGGGGAGCTGAGGCGATCTCGGTCAGCCGGGGATCAGTTGTAAAAGTGGGGGATCCCCAGGCCCCACATCACGTGTCGACGCGCCAGCATTTTGGCCGAAACCCTATGGTTACCGTAGAGTTTTTTGCCAAAATGCTAGAGCGTCGACGCGCAATGTCCCCCGGTGTGATGATGTCACTTCCGTGTGATGTCATCACACCACCCGCATCAACGCACGGTGGGCCTCTTTGGGGGGTGGGGCTTGGCCAGCTGGCCAATGGTATACTGGAGCCCTGAAGATCGAGGCATCCCCTGGCCGGACTGAGGGTGTGGCCGCCTTACGTCTCGAGACAGGGTGCTGTACGAGATGAACCACGCTTCATTTACCCGATGAGAGCAAAGACCAAAACTTTGGAGACTTGCCTAACTTGCCTCTTCTCTGGGATGCTAGGATTTAATGCCAGACGACGAGGACTAATCTGTGGGAACACCAGCTTATCCCACCACTGTATGTCGCTCTTGTGGCTATGCCGCCTGGGGCCTCTGGCCTCAAGTGGAAGTTCGGGTGGGCGGCAGGGCATGCAGCCACTCTAGGACGGTGCTGAAGCATGCTACGTTGCTTCTGCCAAAGCCGTATGTCGCTATATTACGTTCCTGGTTATCGTACACCTTCAAAGGTTGGGTGACTGCTCTGCGTGTTTGTGGAAGGGCCGTTATGGGTGTTTTCGGGTGGTGGTTCCCAGCATTTTGGGTCCCTTGGCAACTGCCAGCAGTCCAAATGGCTCGATCTCTGCAAAGCTTGGCAGTCAAGCAGGGTCGGTCACAGTTAGGGCTTGGATGGGGGGGCACCACGGAAGGCCGGGGTTGCTACGCAGAGGCAGGCAACGGCCAAACCTGCCTCCGTTAAGACTCTTGCTTTGAAAACCTTGCGGAGTCGCCATAAGTTGGCTGCCACTGGACATCACGTGGCCACTGTGTGAGAACGATGTGAATTAAAGGGGATGGGGTGGTCATGAGTCCCCACTGAGTGACCGTTTGAAAGGTAGGTGAAGGAATGAGCGTTTTGCATCACCCCGCTCGCTCTTGTTAATGTAGCTGACTGTGGAGGTCGTATTTGAAAGTAACTTCACGTGCACTCTGTGCTTGTTTTCCAGCATACACCGTTCCTCCGGGTGCGTCTCCACATAACTACCCCAACACCACCTACACGATAATCCAACAACCTCCAACCACTACCTCTGTTGTGGTTGTTGGCGGCTGCCCTGCATGCAGGTATGGTTTCTTTCTTTCTTTCTTTCTTTCTTTCCCCCACCCCCAGTGACCCCTGTTCCATGCCTGGAAGATGACAAAAAATCTCCAGGATCCCCGGCCAAACTGGCCTGAAGAAAAATTGCTTCCTGACCCCAAAGTGGTGATCAGCATTTCCCTGGGCGTGTCCCCTGTGCCAGCCAATTTCTCTTGGCTGACCTACCTTGCAGGATTATTGTGAGAGAGCCCTGTTGTGTTGCCCTTCTTTGGAGGAAGGGCAGGATTTGTGTTTTTTTTTTTAAGTGATAGAATGTTGATAGATCAAGATGGGTAGCCATGTTAGTCTCTGTAGCCATAGAAAAGAGCAAAAGTCCAGTAGCATCTTAAAAGACTAACAAAATTTGTGGCAGGATAGGAAGTGAAGAAGTGAGCAGTGATTCATGAAAGCTCCTGCATGGCCCCAATTTTTGTTAGTCTTTAAGGGGCTGCTGGACTCTTGCTCTTTTTCTACTGATAGAATGGTTGTCTGTACAGTGCCAACATGAATCCGTTCTCTGGAGTAGATAGTCTCATCTCAAATGGCTGAGCTAGCCAGAAACGCTGGTTGAGATGGCGGTTTCAGACAGCTCATTTGATAGTTTTTATATGTTTTCGCCGCAGGACACGAACAATGCCGCATTTGTCTCTTAATTCGAGATTTTACTCTTCTCTTTCAAGTCTGGACTAGCCTCCGAAACCTGTCTGGTGTCTCGCATCACACTGTTGTCAGTCCTTTCGCTTAGGGCAGGGTGAACTGCTCCTTCCGAGAAACTGCTGGCTGAACTGGCATGCTTGTTAGTGCCGTCGAGCAGACTTCCTTTGTGTCCTGACCTGTGGGAGCCGAGCTTCGTACAATTGCAGGTGTTAATTTTGCCTCTTTGAAGGTTCCAACCAGCTGTCTTGACTTAAATGCTACGGCTCCTTTTCCCCTCTGCCGTAGATCTGATTCAGATTTTGGACTCGCAGTAGAATTTGCCTTGTCTCCCTTAGCCATTTTTCTAGCCAAAAACTTCTGCACAAGCCTAAGGAAGATTGAAAAATGAGTACCTAATCTGGAGTCTGGTTATACTTTGATCTGTTTGGTAAAACAGATTATGTTTTAGTATTTTGTCGTATAATGAACACAATAACATAAGAGAAGCCAATGTTGGATGGGCCATTGGCCTGACCGATTTCACACAAGTGCTACGCCACAGTCGCGCCTTCCTTTGCCCCGCTCCTATTGGTCAATTTCCCACTCGAAGCTGCGCGGCTGCATTTTGCCCTGCGGTTTCGCCTGATTTTCCCCGTGGTTTCATGATCCTGTTTTTTGAGGATCACGAAACAGCGGGGAAAAGAGGTCAAAATGCAGCCGCGCGGCTTCGAGTGGGAAATTGACCAATAGAAGCAGGGCAAAGGGAGGCGCGACCGCGGCACAGTTCTTGTGTGACATCGGTCTAACACTCTGTCACACAGTGGCCAGAAATACCAGGTGCCCTCAGGCGGTCCAGCAGTGGGGCCAGGACACTAGAAGCCCTCCCACTGTTGCCCCACCCCCAAGCACCAAGATTACAGAGCATCACTTGCCCCAGACTGAGAGTTCCTATCTATCCCTTGTGGCTCATAGCCACCGATGGACCTCTGCTCCATATTAAGAACATAAGACAAGCCAGTGTTGGGTCAGGCCAATGGACCATCCAGTCCAACACTCTGTCACACAGTGGCCAGAAATACACGCTTCCATCAGGATGATTGTGGGGCCAGGACACTAGAAGCCCTCCCACTGCCCCCCCCAGGCAAGAATACAGAGCATCACCTGCCCCAGCCTGAGAGTTCCTATCTATCCCTTGTGGCTGATAGCCACGGATGGGCCTCTGCTCTGGAACTGGCCTACAGGTAAAATTAATCACTAGAAATATATGTTCCTATATCTTCCAGAAACGATTCATAATTTTCTTTTCCTTGGGTCCTTTTTCCTTTCTCTTGCATGGCAGAGACAAAACGCTGATTAATACAGGGCTCCCCAACGTGGTGCCCCCAGGTGCCATGGTGCCAGCTGAGCTGTTCAGAAAGTGGGCGGGGACTTTGTAAGGCAGGACTTGTTATTGACGGCCCTCATTTCCAGTAAAAGAGTTTTCAATGGATGCAGTATCAGCAGTAGAAGAAGAGATTGGGTTTATACCCCGCCCTTCACTATCTGAAGGAGTCTCAGAGTGGCTTACGGTCTTTTCCTTCCTCTCCCCACAACAAGACACCCTGTGAGGTAGGTGGGACTGAGAGAGCTCTTTAGAGAACTGCTCTTAAGAGAATACCTCCAAGAGAACTTGTGACTGACCCAAGGTCACACCAGCAGCCGCATGTGGAGGAGTGGGGAATCGAACCCAGTTCTCCCAGATTAGAGTCTGCGCGCCTAGCCTTTACACCAAATTGGCTCTCAGTGGCAGCTGCTGAAGGTTCAAGAGGTCTGGCAAGCACGCAGGCTGGTAGTTTCGCTCCCCCTTCAGGCTTCCGTTCCTTTTATTGAAGGCAGTACATCGGCCGCTCAAAGTGGGAAGAGGCTGATTCGAATCTCTGCTTCCAACTGGGCCGTGGTTGGTTTATCGGATCTTTCAGGGCTGGGTCGACAGGAGCCCCAAGAAACACTTTGCGAGTTGCAAAGTTTTTGTAGAAGTTGGACATGACCAAAGTTGAGTTTCTCGCTTCAAGAGATAGTTGTAGGGGAGTTCAAAACTGGGGGGGATGGCTATGGTGTTTTGAAGGGTTTATGACTCCCCCCCCCTCCCTGAGCTTCCAGTTGTCCTACTGGTATCCTCTTCTTCTTTTCAAGGAGATCTGGGTGTTGCTCACAATTCCCTACGGTAACCCTGTGAGGTTATCCTGAGAGAGGGTGACCGGTCCAGTATGAACTTAGGGTTGCCAGGTCTGGTTTGGAAAATACCTGGAGACTTTGAGGGTGGATCTGGGAGAGGGCGGGGTTTGGGGAGGGGAGGGGCCTCAGCAAGGTACTGTGCCATACAGTCCACCCTTTGGGGCAGCCATGTTCTCCAGAGGAGCTGATCTCTGTCAGGTGGAGATCAGTTGTAAAAGCGTGAGATCTCCAGGCCCCGCCTGGAGGCTGGCAACCCTAGCTTCATGGATGAGTGGCAGTTTGAACCCAGGTTTCTTGTCCTAGTTGGCTATTACAGTTGCCAGGTCCTTTCCTTCTGCCAGTGGGGGTGGGTGGCAGGGAGCTTTCTGGGAATGGAGAGGGGTGATGACATCATGCGGAAGTGACGTGGTCATCTGGTATTTTGGGCAGAACTCTATGGTTACCATAGAGTTTTGCCCAAAATACCAGAGTGTTGCCGTGCGACGTCCCTGGCACGATGATGTCTCTTCCGTGTGACATCATCACACCAGGGACGTCGTGCCTGGCCGTGGCTGTTGGGGGCGGGGCTCCCCCCTGCAGGCCAGATGGCAGGTGGTGGGCTGGAGCCCAAATCAAGGGACCCCCTGCTCCCACCTGGGGCTGGGAACCCTACTGAATATTCTACCCCACCCTGGCTTTGTAAAGCAGGGGTCCCAAACCTTTTTGAGCCAGCGGGCACCTTCAGAATTCTGACACAGCTTTTGTGGTCACAGCCAGGAAGTGGAGCTAGCCACAAAATGTGGACAGGTGCCAGGGTGCCCATGGGCTCCATGTTGGAGACCCCTGTTGTAGATCTCCAGGTTAAAAACTATTGTGCTGTGATATATGCCCGTGCGTGAGGCTTTTCTTCTGGTCCGAGGTAACTCTCTCGGCACGCGCTAGAACGCGGCCAGTCCTCGCGTTCACCTTTGCTGAAAGACACAGATGAGCGTTTAAGTCTGAGTCGCTCTCCCAGCAGCTGCGGTTCAAATACGAACCCTGGCTTGTGGTATAAATAAAGCCTTCTCTATTTTTAGGCCATCTGGGCATGGTTTGACTGTAAACCACAGGAAAGCTGATTAGGTTTCCTCAGGCCAACGTCTATTTTATAGCTAAGATTAGCAGGTCTTTAAATGGGGGGGTATTGCCGCCCCTCCCCCGCTTCTCCTAGTAGTTACTCCAAGTGCTCATGGCAATAAAGAAAATGACATATCGGTTCTTGGCAACTTTCAGAAGTATAAATTGTTTAGCCGACGCGTAAGCATTGAGCTAAGAAAGGACCGTGACTATGTAGGTAGACGCGGCCTATAATTAGGTGGTAGAAATGTACCAGTGGCCGACGAGCAGCGATGCCAACTGTATCTACTTGACAACCGGCCAAGGCACTTGTTGGGCTACAAATCCACCAGGCAAGAGACGTTCAGAGGTGGTTTTGCCATTGCCTGCCTCTGCATAGCAACCCTGGGCTTCTTTGATGGCCTCCCATCCAGTTACTACCCAGGGTCGACCCTGCTTAGCTTCTGAGGTCTGATGGGGTTGGGCTAGCCTGGGCCGTCCAGGTCAGTGCAGAGATGGACAGAGGTGGTTTGCCATGGCCGGCCTCTGCGTAGCAACCCTGGGCTTCCTTAGTGGTCTCTCATCCACGTACTTACCAGGGGTGACACTGTTTAGCTTCCGAGATCAGGTAAGAATGGGCAAGCCGGGGCCATCCGGGTCAGGGCAAGAGACCAACAGAGGTGGTTTGCCATTTCTCTCCTTCTGCGTGGTTTGACACTGCCTGCCTCTGTGTAGCAGCCCTTGACTTCCTTGGGGGGTCTCCCATCCAAATACTAACCAGGGCTGACCTGGCTAGATTCTGAGATCTCTTTAGACTGCGTTTGCCTGGGCCATCCGGGTCAGGGCAGAATAGGAAACCCCAAATCTCTCCCCCTCCCACTCAGAAGCCCTGGGAAACAGGGCAGGCCTTGCAGCGCCCCCTCAAGTTCCCCAAGGAGGGCCCCCCAATACCTTGTCAGAGAGCCCCTTCCCGAGAGACAAAGCCACAACAGAAAAGACCCAGGCTGTAGTCAGTCAGTGTCAGATCGGCTATCCTCAGTGGTGAGATGGCCAACGAATGGTT